GTAAAAAGACATGACAAAAGACATGACAAGAAGGCAGAATCTTGTCCTTGTCTAGCTCAATTTCTTCATAATATTGTCGCTTTAAACAATCATCTAATTTTCAGGGTAACCATCCCCCCTGGCAAAGCTTCACAGGGCAGAGAAGGTACCTTTTTTGCCTTGCAGGAGTATGACATTTTAAGAAACGAACACAAAATTTTCTCCCCCTTTGCCTTTAATTAAGACTCGGAACACAAAAAGAGAAAGAGGCAATCAAAAGGCGACATTTTTTGGTAGAAACGTAGCCACCATTAGTAGTGCCGCTATAACCACAACAACGTTGTGTTTGATTGCAATAGGCAATGACCCTAATTATGAGTTGCATTCAATCTTCGACTGGGGTCGAAAGTGCTGATCAAACGAATTTTCATTTGGTATTATGACGCGCATTCGATGAAGAATAGCGCTATTGTGAATTTCGCTGGTTTAGGTTGTTCACAATAGCATATTTTTCACCGCTGACAAGCTTTATTTACAAATCGAGCAAACTAAATAGCGTGCTTATTCATATTTATGTAAATTTGTGCAAATTAAAATGAAGTAAAAAGAAAGCGAGTTTATAACAAGTAATTTTTAAGCAAAAAACAAAGCCGTCTTCAATTCTCATATAAAAATTTAAGATTATCGCTAATTTCTTCATGATCCAGTAGTATGGACCTGTGAGGTAACACCTTTCCTTTAAAAAAAAAGAATTATAGAAATCGGTTAACGTGGTTCAAAGTTATGCGGTAACATACATTAAAATTAAAAATATGAGTACAACTGAGTTCTGGTTCGACGATTCGTCAGAGGATGAGAGCTTAGTAAGCTGGCCAGCAGTATAAAACGTTTAAGTGTAGTCTTTCGAATATATTTTGTTAAAAACTTCCGACTGTCTAAAGAGACGTTTGTAGAACTGCTGTCCGCTACATAAAACCTGCTGCAGCACTGCTTTCGAGCCAAATCTATTTAAAATAGCTTAAAACTATCAACAGCTCTACGATTTTGTTCTCAGAGATCGTGTCAACTGAGTATTCGGATTTTCTTTCATAAATGAAACCAGCCTTTCGAGCTCGTGTTTAGTATTCACGTTAGAACTGCATGAAATTAATAAAAATTGTTTAAAATTACTGTCCAGCCGCCAAAAAGTAAGAAAAGAAATGCAAAATCATACATTTTTGACAGTTTCTTAACACTTCGCTACAGCATTGAAAGCAAAATTATGTTCGACAGAAATTTCGATACTCAACGAAAATGTTGACACTACTGCATAGCTCATAATACGAATTTCACATTCGATCTTCGACAACCAGCGAAGATCGAAAATCTAGTGCAACTCGTAATAAGGGCCAATATTCCATTAAAAATATATATTCTTAGAAAATTTCTGATCCCTCATGTAGTAATATTCTTTGATAAGATTGTGTTGAAAACATAAATTAAATTGTTTACATATCATATTTTCATTTTTGTTTTTCTTATTTTATGGCCATATAACAATTATATTCAACAATTCAAGCTCAATAAATTTTTTTGAATATATATTATACTAGGCGGCAACGGATGCGCGAGGCTGAATGTATGCATATGTATGTATATTTACGTATTTGGAGAAAGAAATCATATGCCATCATGTACTTCGTTTATTATATACATAAAAAATCTTGTTTAAATCCGCTCAGTAGTGTGGTTAAAATATCTCGCCTTTCCTTTATACTATGTATAGAAGATAGTAATTTTAAATAGGTTGCAACCCTACTCAAAAAACTTAAATTTTTTGTACATGCGATGGCCATGAACTTTCATTTGGTATCTTATTTTTTTATCCAACGAACGTTGTAGTTTTTAAACAGGTGACAACCCTACTCAGAAAAATAATACATTATTACACATCCAGAGGCTAAGTCGTTGCGTTTGACAGTAACGGTACACGGCCTATGCTTATTATGATTGAATATGGTAATTTTATTAACAGATGGCAACCCTATTCAAAAAAATATTAGTGCTTTTCTAGAGGCCAATCCCTTTCATTTGGCATCTCATCTTTTGTAATCCAACGAACGGTGCGGATCTTATAGTTGTTTATACAGGTGGCAAGCAGTGTTGCCGCGCCGTCTCAAGAAAATGTATCCCTGACCAAGCCAAAAATGTATCCAAATGTATCCAATTTTCTTTTTTTACATATACATCTCATAATTTGTAAGAAAACCAAACATTTTCATGAAAAAGACATAATTTAACCCATCCTAAGGACTTGGAATACATGTGCATAAAATCAAACATTTGTAATTTCAATTTATAAAGTACATTTTTTGTGCATAAGTATTTTGCAAAGCAAGTATAATAAATAGTAAGTACACTCTAAAAAGAGCATGTAAAACTACTACTGAAAAGTATCTATTTTTCAACAAGAATCTGTATACGTATGAGATGTTCAGTATTTGATTTTGAACTTGAGATCTTTAAAATATACACATAAATACACATATATAGAATGTTTAAAATTGCAAAAATTTTCAAACTACAAATACATTTCCTACTAATAATAAACATTACTTTATTTTAAACATTTTATGTGTAATTTTGCTCTTTGCGAAAAATTTGGTATGTAAAAGTAAACAGGCAATGATTAATTTTATTACACGGCGTGCAAATTTGCACACATTAAAAGAGGAAACTGGTTACCTCTCTTAATATGCGCAAATAAACAAAGTTTTTTTAGAGTTTATTTAAAGTCTTTTCAGTAAAATTCATACAAGTTTCCTTAAATAAATCAAATTTAGTTTTTTAAACTGCATTGAAATCTTTCTTTTTAAATTAACAAATGAAAATATGTGATATGAAAGAGATTACTACAGAAAGAGTATAATTTACTTTATATATATCGTCGTTTAAAGTACAAAACCGTGTATCGTCATTCTGCAAAACCGCGTAACTGACATTTGCTACCAAAAATTGGATTTGCTCACACAAGCTCTTGGCTCAATCCTGATCCAGTCGTCCTGAAATATACTAGCCAGGAAAGCGATTGCTCTATAAAAAAGGGAACCATTTTAAAACATAAGTGTTTTTGCTCTTTAGAAAATAATTTATGCAACATCACATACGCGGTTTTGCATTATCTTGATACGCGGTTTTGCATTTTGTTGATACGCGGTTTTGTACTTTAAACGACGATATGTACCTATATTAAGATCTTGCTTAAAGCATCCTTTTAATCTAATTAACACAATTGCGCTTATACCTATTTTGGTGAGATCTCTTCATATGTTCATTGCTTCGTTCACAAAAAATAAAATGCTTTAATTTCACGCTTAAGTAGCGATTCTTAATACGTTTAGAAAACGTAATGCTTTCTACCATCTTTACTGAAAATCGATTTTTGAACGAAAAAAACTTTATATAATAATATAATAGATTGGCGCTTACACATATGTTCGTGTTTGGCCGAGCTTCTCCTCCGGTTTGTGGCGTGCGCCTTGATGTTGTCACACAAAGCGGAGGGACCTACAGTTTTACGCCGACTCCGAACGGCGATTGTGTTTTTATGAGAAGCTGTTTTTCATGGCAGAAATACACTCGGAGGTTTGCCATTGCCTGCCGAGGGACGACCGCTGTTAAGAAAAAACCTTTTTTCTATATTTTTTGCGATGTTGCTTTGACCAGGGTTTGAACCCAGGTGCTGCGGAGTGGAAGCGCGCTTACCACTACACCACAGCGGCCGACTTTATAGGAAATATAAAATTTTGGCCTATTTAAAAAAGTATCCATACTGACCGGAAAAAATAAGTATCCCGCAAAGATTCGTCTAAAAATGTATCCAATTGGATCTATTTAGATCCAAACGGCATCCCTGGTGGCAATCTTTTAAAATTCTAAGAAAAAAAGATCCCTTTCCTATCGATACAGAGTATATTAGAGAAAATCTCGTCAAAATCCGCTTAGTAGTATTCGAGATTCCGCGTACAAAGAATCTCGACTTTAAAACACAAGAATTTGAAGCACACATTTTTATACCGGAGCGCGCTTGTGCACAAGGGTATTATAACTTTGTTCACATTACGGTTGTTTCTAACAGGCAAAAGAAATCGAGAAATAACCACGCCTACCTCCCATATAACGGTAATTTTCAGAAATACGAAAACTGCGATAATTGCGAAATTTATATTTACAATGATTTTTAGACGAAAAAGAATATTATAAATTTTTTGAAAATTGGGCACTAATTTTTCCCAAACTTGGCCTTAGTACAAAACACCAAACGGTTGATAATTTTTAATACTGATAATAACCGCGCCCACAGTAAACATGAAGCTAATTTATTGAAAATTGATGTTCACAATAATTCTTTAGCAAGAAATACCTTTATGATAAAATTTTGGAAAACGGGCGTGGCACTGCCCATTTATGACCACATATGTGTATCTCGGTAACCGTTCGATCAATTTGTACCAAACTCGGCATGATTATTGTGCTTGCCACGTAAAATCAAAACGCTGCAAATTATTGAAATCGGACTAAAATTACGCCCACTTTTTATATAACGGTAAATTTCAGAAATGCTTTAAACTGATATTTCGAAATTTAAGAATGCTAATTTACACAAAATTGATACTAACAATAATCCCTTAATAAGAAGTAACATTATTATGGACTTTTGGAAAATATTCGTGTCACCGCCCACATATAACTATATAAGTTTATGGAAGATGTTTGAAATAGGAGTAGAATCACCCCTGCTTACCATGTAGCGGTATTTTTCGGAAAGGTGAAAAAAAACTATATTTAATACTAGCCCGGGTATCGAATGTTCGGCTCCGCCCGAACTTAGACTTTTTTACTTGTTAGTTATGCGAATAAATAATTCATAAGAAAAATAGCACGACTTCTGATAAATGGTTAAGACTATTTAAGATACATTAACTTAGTTTTTAGTTTTGTGTTCTTGTTGCTTGCTTTTGACTAAATTTTATAATTTTTAGGTAAAGGAAGCAACCCAACGGTGTAGAAGTTTGGGTCTACAAACAGAGTTTCGACATTCGCAAGTACTTGACGAATTTGGCATATTCCACACCATCGTGATGCTACGTGATAGGACCCTTCGTCGTAAAGCCGAATGGCCTATTGCCAGACTAGGAGTCTGGCTTGATATGGTGCGTAATAGCGAAGACTTGACAGCTGAAAATGTGTTTAATTGTGTGGATATGAATTGGGAGCCATTAGAAAATGATGAAAACACAACATTAAATGATTCGCTCAACTCGAGTCGAATTTCATTAAATTTAAGCATTGTTAAAGATGCTTTATTGAAAAAGCCGCTAAAGAAATTGCAGTTATTTGATACTTCTTCACATTCTCCTTCACATATCGGTCCGCCGTCTTTAGTAAAACGACAAAGTTTTGTTCAGTCGCCGCTAACAGGAAGATTTATAACGAAAAAAGTCTTAAACTATGATGATTGTGTTGAATCGTCACCAGCTCGTAAACCAAATACATCCGATAATATAATTTCACCTGCTGCTGTAAATTCTAGTAATTTAAATGCTGATTTTACCGGTTTAGCATTAACGCATCTGCACAGCATGGAGTGCTCAGCTTCACGCCTAAGATTGCTCTGTAATCGGTATAGAAATGAAGGGGAAAATGTACCCAACAAAAACTTTGAAGAGCAGCAAACATTTTTGCAGGAGTCACTATATGAACTGGAAAAAATACTGCATGGAATGCGCTGCTCTCTTAGTCGGAGTGAGCCAAGTGAAGGCAACGAGATGACGACATCCGAAATGCAAAAAGTAGTTCGATTTCTTATAGATTAGTATAGTCAATTATTTTTTATATTATTGTTGTTTTTACTACTAAAAACTTTATATTATTTCAGTTGCACGCATAAAATAAAATATAAATGTAATTGTATTCGAACTAGCTATGTATGTGTGTATGTATGTACATACATATGTATGTATTTATTTGTTGTTTGTTGTAGGTAATAGTTCTTGAATGTGACTAACGTCCTTGAAACCATCTGAATCGTTAAACTACCTAGTAAATAGGTTTACTATCATTCATTGTCCTTTTTCTTTTAAGTTTTAACTGGTTACTCAACACGAGCTGACACTATATATTATAAAAGACGATGTCTTATTTAAAACCTCCAGGTAGTCAAATTTTTTTGTAACTGAATGTTACAGGACGGTTCCGTGTGCAGAAGTGGAAAGCTTTTGACTGCCATTCACCTGGAAGTGGCCATAAGTGGTTCTTGTACGTACGGTTTAAATCGTAGCTCACAACGTCCGGATATTTATATCCATGTATTCTTTGGGTACCTCATCTTTGTCGGTCTCCTTGCCGTGGGGATGGGGCTTAAGTGGTAATATGTTGGCCGCTTCAGCAACCGACATATCACCACGAACTAAGAGGGAAGCTTGCATAGTGACCTGATGCCGCTGTATCACCCTCGCCCGCAGGGTAAGTGTGATACCAGACACTCTGGTTTCCATGCAAGATCACCGCACCGAAATCCCTATCCCTAATCCTACCCCATCCCACCTTCCCTCCTCTCCTCCAACAAAAATCCTGACTGGGCAGTCACTAAAACCCCCCCTAATCCGAGATAGCCCGTGTCTATCGGACAGGGTTGCAGTCGGGGGTATTCAGACTGTATTATAGCGGAGCACCTCTCTGATACCTGCCCGCCTCAGGGAGTAACGGTGGGCTTACCGTGTTATTGGGGGCTATGACACGACGGACAGTTCTGACTCCTACACTCGTGGGAATTCTTATGGATAAAAGCAACCAAAAACAAACAAAACAAAACCAAAAAACAAAACACCAGCGGGCACTTATACCGCACCACTACTGGCGAACCAGGTAGAGTCTAATATCGAACATACTGGTAGCCAGGGCCCTACACGTACAACCCCGACAGTGGGCGGACAAAAGGGCGGCAATGGTACCAAAGACCCTATATTTGGACCGGCGCAACGGACAGAAGCAGGCACTATGCAACGGAAGGAAAGTCTGGGGCAGGTGGGATCTGAGGATGCTTCGGCAGCCAAAGATGACATACCACAAGCCTCGACGAGTACTGGACTCGGGGACGTGAGAAAGGCCACAGTTAAGTGGTACCTGCGCTACGTCAGTAAAGGCTTAACGCCTGAGGAGGCCAAAAAGAAAGTCCGGGACCGGGAGAAAACCAGTGACAGTGCACGGGAGGCTGGGGAAATTAGTGTTTCGAAAGGTAATCCGGAGAACAAGAAAGTCATGGACGGGGAGAAGCCCAGTGACAGCAAACGGGGTGCTGCGGAGATTAGTCCTCCGGAAGGGAAGCCAGAGAAGAAGAGGAGCCGTCTCGAAGCAGTGGCTCCAAATCCCAAGGCAGGGGCCAGGAAGCCTGGTGTTAGCTATGCTAGCGCCACTAAGCGTATTAGACTGGCTGTTCTGCCGAAGGCTTTCCCTAAACGTACACTCACTCGTGGGGATCAGGGAAAGATTGAGGACGCCATTGTGGAGGAGATGGGTAAGGGTTGGAGGTCAATACTCCAATTCGACGGCATCCACTTTCGGCCAGGCGTTATACTGGTCGACTGGTTGGATGCAGAATCAGCCGAATGGCTGCGCTTAATTGTTCCAAAACTGCCTGGTTGGGAGGGTGCGGAATTGACTACGTGCGATGGGGACAACATACCCAAGGTGCACGTAATCACTACGTACCTACCAAAAGCTGCAGGAGTGGACACGCAGAAACTACTGAACCTAATTATAGCCCAAAATGAGGGTATGCATACCGACCTATGGAAGGTATACAGAAGCAATGACGAGAAGACGGGTAAACTGCTGACGATCGGGATAGACGACCGGTCGTTGGAGGCTATCAAGAAGAAAAACTGTATCCTACGATACAGGTTTGGTAGTGTTCCAGTGCATCTGCACAAGGGCAGGGAACCGAAGGCGAAGGTAGCCAAGCCAAATACTCCACCGGGTGTTCCTGAAATACCGGAGGAGGTGGCTGAGATGGTAGCTGTGGAAGCAGCCAGAAGCGCGGTAGTAGAGAAAGTTGGTATTCTACCTCATGAGACGGAGGGTATAGACGATTTCGACCTCGGCCTACTAAATATCTTTGCAGATCATGACTCGGAGAGGGCCACCTTCTCAGAGCTTGACGAAACTCTGACAACGGATGAAGAAGCGGAACGCCATTAGCTGCGACGATGACCAGCACTAAGGTTGCACAAGTGAACCTTCACCATGCGAGGGCCGCGTCTGCGGTCATCGCTAGGGCAACCCTCAGGTCTACACTGGGAATAGTGCTGGTACAAGAACCCTGGGTCGTCAGGGGCCAAAAAAGAGGCTTGGCGGTAGAGAACAGGCAGGTAATTTGGGATACTAGGTGCACAAATCCTAGGGCGTGCTTGTTAATAACTAATAGCTTTAAACATGTATGTCTTTCAGATTTCCTGTCGAGGGATCTAGTGGCGGTCCAAGTCCCGGTCAACATCAACGGGACCATCCAGGACATCGTAGCTGCATCGGGCTACTTCCCAGGAGATAACAATCACGCCCCACCGGAGCTTGTCACTAAACTGGTGAAGTACTGCGAAGACAAGAAGCTACCCCTGATACTCGGATGTGATGCAAATGCGCATAGCGAGGCATGGGGGAGCAGTGACACCAACCAAAGGGGTGAGTACCTTCTTGAATTTATCCTTAGAAATAAATTAGAAATCTTTAATGTTGGGAATATACCAACTTTTGTGACCCGTGCGAGGGTAGAGGTCCTTGATATAACCATTGGAAATACTCAAACGAAAGTGCTGGCGAAAGAGTGGAGAGTATCCAATGAACCCTCCATGTCAGATCATAGAATAATTAGTACATAGAGTTTTAAGGAATCCCAGGAAGACAGACTGGGGGAAGTTCAAAGACAACCTGAGGCTGAACGTAGCCCAACCTGGGCTGGGTCAAAAGATCAGGAACGAAACAGAACTAGAATTCGCGACAGAGCGCTTTAATGAACTACTCATTGACGCATATGAAGACAGTTGTCCTATAAGTAAGGTATGTTCCTCCAGGGATGTATCCTAGTGGAACAACAGCCTAAGTAAACTCAGAACCAAAGTTCGGAAATTGTTCAATCGAGCAAAACGAACCGGGGAGTGGTCAGAATACAGAAACACCTTAACTCTGTACAACAAAGAAATAAGGGAATCTAAGCGTTTAAGCTTTAGGAACTTCTGTCAAAGCATAGAAGATACCGCGGAGGCTACAAGACTCTATAAGGTAATGGCAAAAACGAATTGTATTTCGTCCGCAAGTCTAAGGAAGAGTGATGGGAGTTTCACTGGGAGCGAGGAAGAAAAGATCCAACTTCTCATACNTTCGCCGGTGTTGTGCTTCAGCTTTAAAAAAGAGTGATGGGAGTTTCACTGGAAGCGAGGAAGAAAAGATCCAACTTCTTATAGATACTCACTTCCCAGGATCTACATCATATTCCGAGACAGATCGGACTGAACAAAGTAGTAAAATAAGCAGAGAAAACTGGTTAGTGGCTAAGGAAATATGCTCTGAGCCCCGACTAAGGTGGGCGGTGAACACCTTTAAACCGCTAAAGTCACCGGGAGCGGATGGAATATTCCCTGGCATGCTACAGCAGGGCTTAGAATGCATTATTGGCCCGCTATTAACAATAGTTAGAAGCAGCATAGCATTGGGTTATATACCAGATGCGTGGAGAAGAGCGAAGGTAGTTTTCATCCCGAAGGTTGGAAAGAAGGACCCACTTCATCCAAAATCCTTCAGGCCGATCTGCCTCACCTCATTTGTACTAACAGCTTTAGAAAAGGTAGTAGATGACTACGGTCTTAGGGCCGTTTTCTAATGTAAGCAGTAAAGTTGCCTTTACTAACAGGGCAGATAAACTGTTCCTCAATTTAAAGTGTTTTCGTTTTCTTATCTTACCGGTAAAAATAAATTTTGTATTCCGTAGAGTGAAACTTCACTATATTTCCGAGAATGAAACTTCACTACATTCGTCATAAAATTTCAAAGGTTGGCAATGCAACATAAGCAAATATAGAGCAAGAGCAACTGTTAGCAAAAACCAAAACCTTGGTTGAAATATCTAATATAGCTGGCTCGTGAACCAAAACCAAACCAAAATTTAAAGTTGGGTACAAATTTTAAAGGCTGCGTCGGGTAAGCAACAGTTTATCGATTCGAGAAATTAATGCGCTGATGAGAAAACGAAAACTCTTATATCGAGACGATAAAGTGGCCGGTAAACTAAAGGTTAGATGAGAAAACGGCGCTTAGTGAACTATCTGCTGAATTCGCGCCAGCATGCATATATGGCGGGTCGTTCTTCTGAAACCGCCTATATGCGCTGATAAGTGGACTTCAAGATAGCTTAGATAATAAGGAGACGGCTATATGCGCCTTTCTGGACATCGAGGGAGCGTTTGACAACACCTCACATGCTGCAATAAACAGTGCTTTGATCAGCAGAGGGGTAAACAATACCCTCGTAGCCTGGATTAATTGCATGCTCCGCACCAGAAGGGTAGAAGTACAAACCTGTACGAATAATACGGTTGTTGCCGGAACAACAAGGGGCTGTCCACAGGGTGGAGTGCTATCTCCACTGCTGTGGAACATAGTCGTCGAAGGACTGCTCCAAGAGCTGACAGATACTGGGTTAACTTGCCAGGGGTACGCCGATGACATTGTAATTATATGCAGGGGGAAATTCGAAAACACCCTGTGTAATAGAATCCAGCTAGGGCTGAATGTAACCAAAAAATGGTGTGCTAAAGTTGGGCTGAATGTTAACCCATCAAAAACCACTATAGTACCATTCTCAAGGAAATATAAACTGGAGAGCCT